CCCCAAAACCCCAAAACCCCAAAACCCCAAAACCCCTAAAAACTTTTTTATGATTGAAAACTTTTAATCTTGCTTACGAGGAAGTTTCAATTTCTTCCCTTTAGCTAATTTTAAATACATATTTCGATACTTCCTAGCTGGAGCCTTTTTCGCCTTTACTTCATCACTCTTCCAATCTGGCTTTTTGGAAGTGATTTCAAGGAGAAAAGAGTCCATCAGTGAGTTGTCTTTAGGAACTTGAATATCCTTCACTACCTCAATCTTGTCATCTCCAAATGTCATCCTCTCCTGAGCCATTATCTGAGCTTCTTTTTGAGCTTCTTCCTCAAAAGCCCGGATAGTTTTCTGTGATTTCTTGAATTCATCACTTTTATGTATTTGAGGGCAAGCGCTAAAAGTATCAAATTGAGGTAAAATGAGGGATCTTTCATTTTCATCTTGTTCATTCTGGAAATTTGTGCCAAGCTTAGAAGCTCTTATATTACTCTTGTCTTCATCTCTGGGATCATAATGAAAAGACTCTGAGTCGTTAATCCGGCTAGATTTTCCAAAGCTAGCATTAGGAAATCCTCTAGAATCTCTGTGCTTATTTACATCGACCTTTTTTATATAGTTGAAGTAAGAGTTGGTTTTATGGCTCTGCATGTCCTCCATTCTCTTATTGATATTACTTTGTGGTTTCTTAGTCGTATTTCCAGAGATATCTTCTTTTATATATTTTAGTTCCTTTGAGTACTCACATTCCAGAAGATCAAATGTGTTCTCAATTTTACTATCTTGATTGAAGGTATTGTCATAAAGCCCACTATCAACATCCAGGTTTGACTCAACGTAAGAACTCATGAGCTGGAAGGAGTCATCGACTTGCATATCTTCGATATTTCCAATGAGTTCACTGGGCATTGAATAATCATGTCTCAGTTCGTCTAGAAATCCTCTATACTTTTTAATAAGCTCCATATAGTGTCTAATCTTTTTCTTTAACCGAAGGATATAAAAATTTTGAGGAGAGGGATCCAGAGGCTGTCTTTGTATAGGAGCAGTTAGCTTCTGGCTTGTTTGCACTCAAGCATCCTTATTTGGACAGAGATTCAGTTCTTTCTCGCAATACAGCAAGTTGATACCGGAGTTCGGAGTTCTCTTGTAAGCTATTACCTACAATCTCTTGGATCCTAAACACCTCATTCTGAAGATTTAGATTCTCTGAGACAAATTTATTAATTGTGTTGACCAAATGTGTCTTTTCAGTAGGAGCAGAGCCTTTTGTTCCAGAACTAAACCAGGAGCCTCTCCTTGCATGCTTCTTATTGACCTCACTGTCCTTATTTAATAGTCGCTAATAGATCAGCAATGGCTTCTTTGTTTAGTTTCAGGTTAGTCTGATGGTCAAGTATCATAGTCTTAAGGCCTGTATTCTCTTGCTCTAAATTCTTGATTATAAGGTCTTTCATCTGTGCTGATTTCTCTATTTCCAAAGGATTTTTATATTCAAACATTTTTGAAATAAATTATTATCCAACAAGAAGCTTTCGTACGGGGTTTTGGGGTTTTGGGGTTTTGGGG